ACCAGATAGGCGGGGTACAAATAGAATAAATAAATAAATAAATAAAAGCACGCGTACTGTAATAGCACATCAAAACACAATTAAAGAATCCATAATACAAAGAGTAAAAGCATTTCAAGGCACACAGATTTATTGCAAAGAAATCCTGCACCCACTGGTGAAAACCCTTTGCTGAGCCATTAGTCAGCTGTTCAAAACCTGCCCAAATAAAGTTGTCACCTGCCTGCCTGCCTGCTTGGCCTCTCCTGGAAGGGAGTTCTGGGACCACCCCCTGAGAAGATGATGAAAGAAGGAAGAGTGCAACAAGGTGGCTATGAGGAGCTCCCCCCTTTCCCCCCTCTCCCAAAACACTAGGACCCAAGGGAGTTGTTGGGTGAAGCAGAATGACAGCAGACTTCTAAAACTGTGGAACTCACTGAGACAAGATGTCGTGGTGGGGGGCAGTTTTAAAGAGAGAGCAAAAACATTCACATAATTCCCCCTAACGGTCAGGGGAACGGTGTCCTCCCTTCACGATCCACATCAGCAAAGGCTGCCCATGCTAGTTGCTGGGGAATATGAGCAGGATGGTGCTGTGGTGCTCCCATCCTCCTTCTGAGCTTCCTATCTGGATATCCGTGGTGGGCACAGGGTACTGGATGCAATGCATTTTAGGGGCTGATCCAGCTGCTGCAGGGCTCCTTTGAAGCCAAAGGTGCTGCTTAAGTTTGTTAGGTTTAGAAAAATAGTGAACTTGGAGGCCTTTAGTCATGAAGAACAGGCTAAGAGTCCTCAGGAACACGTCCAGAAGCTGGTGTCTGGTTATGCATCTTGTTTGTGGCAGGTCATAACAGCAAAAAAGGTGCTCTACTAAGTACAGAAGATTAAAAGTTGCATTATCAATTGAATTTGGGGGAACCTCTTGAAGCATTCATTGCGCTGAGCTGTTTCAATTGCTTTTGTTTGATTTATTCATTGCACACAACTGAAAGTCTGTGAATTTTGACAATAAACCTGATTTGCAGTGTGGGGGGGAGTTGAATAATTTTGATTACAGCTGTAAACCCCTGCTTTTAAAACAGTCCGTTCTTGCTCTCCTTGTGGAACGTTTGCTTTTTTACGATATTCCTGACATTGAAACTGGGCCTTGGCCATTTCCATCAGAGCAGCGGGCCCTGACATTTTTTCCCCACCCTTCTTCTCTAGCTTTTATCCCACGCGGTGTCTTCTAATGGCCAGCCTGTGGAGGATCCCATGGAGATCATCATCAAAGTGACCGACCAGAATGACAACCGGCCACAGTTCACAGAGAAAGTCTTTGAAGGATTTGTACCTGAAGGAGCCAAACCAGGTAACCTGTGCACTCAGACAGAGGGTGTTTGGGCAACAATTGCTGCCTTCTGTAGTCCATCCATACGCTGTACAGGCAAGGCTCCAGATGGGCCGTTAAGCAGGAAAGAGTGAGCAGTCCAATCAATTGTCAGTGAATCCAGTATTTATATTTTTAGGGGTTTTTTTGGATGGAGGGGGACACAGACCTTACACTGAGAGATGGGAAAGTTAGGGGGGAAAGGAACATGGACCGTCGATGAGTTGTAACCTTTTTGTGCTAATTTTATGGACATGCATTTTGTCTACCTGTGTCTCATCTCTAAAACTCCTCCAAAAAGAGTATAATATCACAGCTAAAGTCTCACAGGCACCAAGCTTTCTTCCCTGCATGGATTGTGCTAATGGCAGAGAGCCTACAGCCCTCCACAGATGCTCTTCAGAGGTGGAGGTCCAGGTTTTTGCCCAAGAATGGTGTAATTTGGAAAATCCTCTACAGCAGTGGTCCCCAAACTTGGGCCTCCAGATGTTCTTGGACTACAACTCCCAGAAGCCTTCACCACCACCTCTGCTGGCCAGGATTTCTGGGAGTTGAAGTCCGTGTCATCTTCTTGCCAGCTGGCCCTGGGGTGTTCTCCACTGCACTTTCTCAAGCCATGGGTTTAGAGAACAAACCTTTTTGTCCTTATCTGGCTAGGCACCCCAGTGATGAATGTGTCAGCCACCGATAAAGATGACGCCATAGACACCTACAACGGGGTCATCACCTACTCCATCGTCAGCCAATCCCCAGAAGAACCCTACCGCCAGATGTTCACCATCCACAACGAGACGGGTTTAATCAGTGTGATCACCACTGGGCTGGACCGAGAAGTAAGTGCTCGGATGCTTGTGGTGCAGCAGCGCAGGCTGAGGACCCCCATTTTGGGGAAATCTTCGCGAGTCTACCACAGCTTTTCATGCAGGCTTTATAGGACCTGCCTGGGGTGCTTGCTGGAATAACAGGACATTGATGCAGCTGACGAGTCATAAATATTATTTTGCTTTCTTCCAGAAATACCCCCAGTACCGGCTGGTCCTCCAAGCAACCGACATGTTAGGACAAGGCTTAAGTAATACAGGGGAAGCGGTCATCACTGTCACAGATGCAAATGACAACCCGCCAATCTTTGACCCACTCACGGTAATGCCAGGGCTCTCCCCACCTCTTCTTGGCAGTTGTGTACACGTTGCACTGCTCATACTTGTCTGGACTTTTCTAGAGGTGTAAATCCTTGCTTGTTTCTTTCTGGTTTGCAACAACAAGGCATAGCCCAGGAGACGTGATCTCCTTTGTTGGTATCCATGACATTTCTTGCATTTCCAGGAATATATACATTTTTTTTTTGCATAAATGACACAGAACAGCCACAGCTGCTGTTGTGTTGCATACAGTTTTTTAAATGGGGTTGGGAACCCCTGCCTTAGAGTGAACAGGCCTTTCCATCCCCCCCCCGCCCTGCAGCCATGCCACTGAAATCCAAATGTTGTCATTTTTCTCATAGTATGTTGCAACTGTCCCGGAGAACGAGGTGGGCTTGTAAATCCTTGCTTGTTTCTTTCTGGTTTGCAACAACAAGGCATAGCCCAGGAGACGTGATCTCCTTTGTTGGTATCCATGACATTTCTTGCATTTCCGGGAATATATACATTTTTTTTTTGCATAAATGACACAGAACAGCCACAGCTGCTGTTGTGTTGCATACAGTTTTTAGAATGGGGTTGGGAACCCTTGCCTTAGAGTGAACAGGCCTTTCCATTCCCCCCCCACGGCCCACGGCCATGCCACTGATATCCAAATGTTGTCATTCTTCTCATAGTATGTTGCAACTGTCCCTGAGAACGAGGTGGGCTACTTGGTGGACACGCTGACTGTGGTTGATGCTGACGAGGAGAACACATTGGCGTGGAAAGCGAAGTACACCATCGTGAGAGGGAACGAGGAGGGAAACTTCGCTGTGGCCACAAATCCCGAAAACAACAATGGTCTCTTGACCACCGTTAAAGTGAGTGGTCAGTTCTTTTGCTCCCAACCTTATCAACAGCCCCCCCCCCAGGATGTCCCATCTGGCACTGCCATCATGGGGGTGAGTGTTCCTTGCCCATCCTAATGGGACCGTCTCTCTCTCTCTCTCTCTCTTGCATCCTTTCAAGGGCCTGGATTTCGAGATGCGGAAACAGTTCATTCTACAAATAACGGTGGTGAATGAGATTCCATTCTCGGTAACTCTCCCAACCTCCACAGCCACTGTCACTGTCAATGTGGAGGACGTCAATGAAGCTCCTGTTTTTGTTCCACCTGTAAAGGAAGTGAATAAGCGCGAAGACTTGCCTGTTGGGCAACAAGTGGCTACATATACCGCTCAGGACCCTGATAAGTTCATGCAGCAGACCATCCGGTACGAGAGACGGGTGCTTGGGAAGGTCCCTAATTCAGTCCCAGGCAGGCAGTGTGGCTAAGAAAGGCTAGGAGAGAATCCTCCTCTGCAAGAAACTTGGAGAGCCGCTCCTGCCTGTACGTGTTGCCTACACTGTGCTAGATGCACCAAGGATTTAATGCCATATAGGGCAGCTTCTTAGGCTCCTGTATCTTATGGGAAAGGTGACAGAGCAGCTGCTTTGCACACTGAAGGTTGTCAGTTCAGTCCCTGGCCTTTTCAAGTAGGATTAGGAAACAGCTGTGCTTAGGAGCAACCCTACAGCATAATTTCTAGGCAAGGAGCTATCCGTGGTGCTGAAAGCCATCCCGGAAACAGGTTCACTGCCTTAGATAAGTCTTGTGAAGTGCAGAGTGAAACCTGGAGTGGATTCTTAGTGCTTCTGGAGTCACCAGCCACCACTGCAGTAAGAGGGGGTAAATACCCCCTGCAGCTGTCAAAATGGCCACTACTTTTTTAGGGGGAATGGTTGGAAGGGCAGAATTGAGAAGCAACTGGGCAGATGTTTGGTTTGATAGTTCTGTGACAATTCCCCCGATGATTTCTATTTTAGGTATTCCATTGGGAGTGACCCAGCAGGCTGGCTGAAAATTAACCCAGAAAACGGCATCATAGAGTCTAAAGCCCCACTGGACAGAGAATCGGAATTTATTCAAGACAACACCTATATGGCCATCTTCTTGGCAAGTGACAGCGGTAAGCTGGCATTTTGAGTTGTGCTTCTCAGCCTGCACCAGGCAGAAAGAGACCCTTTCTAGGGCAGCTGGGGTGGCCTATTACATATTTATAAATATTTTCCAAGTGCAATATCACAATTGGATTTTAGAAGGAATCATTTTTCTATATGATTCACAGCATACAAGTAAAGATAATACAATGCAAAAAAGCCATATTGTGACTTTTATTCGCAGAGTAACAGTAATAATAATAAGGATTTACTGTTAATCTCTAGCAATAAGTAACACAAGTTCCTTTTTCAAAGTAACCTTCCGGGCTCTGCACTGGATAAAGCAGAAAGTCAGAAATGAATAGAAATGTTAGTTTGGGGATGCAAATTTGTAGCTCTCACTCCTGTTCCCACTTAAATGGGAGCCCGTTTCATGGCGCTCAGTGGGATTTACTTCTAAGTAGACACATGGGGTTGTGCCATTAGTCACACTGCCATTTCTGTCCAGCATCACCACCGGCCACTGGCACGGGAACGCTTCTCATCCACCTTGAGGATGTGAACGACAATGGACCGGAACCAGACCCAAGGGTCTTTGACATCTGCAGCCACAACCCCGAAACTCAAGTCCTGAAGATTGTGGACAAGGATATTCCTCCAAACACCCATCCTTTCTTTGCCAAGCTTGAGCTGGGCTCCAGTGCGAACTGGACCGTCCAGGTGAACAACGGTAGGTTGATCGGTGGTGCTGAGTGCATTGCCCGCTGGAGAAAATCAAGTCTTCCATCTCAGTGCATACAGCTGGAAAGAGAACAGAGAAAGACGTGTGTTCTCATGGCTGATTATTTTCAGGGTGAATTTGTGCCTTGAGCTCGGGGGGGTTGGAGGTGATGGGTGTGGAGGCCCCTTCCAACTCCGTCATTCTCTGATTCTGTGAAAACTAACTAGCGAGTCAACAATTTTGAAATGTTTGTTCACTTGAAACAAGCCAAGGGCAGTCCGTAGGCTGTATACACCCTTCCTGGGCCGGTGGGCGCATTTTTCAAGATTACTAGTGGCTTTGAAAAAACCCTCTCCTGGGCCTCAGGCAGGCCAGAAAGGGCCTTAAAAAGCAGTGAAATGGCTTGTGGCACCGACCAGATGCCTTTTAAAACAAGTGAGGTTTAAAGTAAGTCTGTCTTGTCCCCTGCGGGCAAAACGACAGCCGTGGCAGCTCTTAACGGTCTCCTGGGTTGTTTTTCTCTCCCCTGCTTCTTCCCGCAGAGGACAATCTGTCCCTTCAGCTGATCAAGCAGCTGGAGCCAGGGGACTACAGCATTGCCCTGAAGCTGACGGACGGACAAGGGCTCTCCCAGACAACGATGGTCAAAGCTCGTGTGTGCGACTGTGAGGGGACAGTCAAGAACTGTGAGAAGAGAGCCTATGCGGTGGGCGGAATGGGAGTCCCAGCCATCCTGGGGATCCTGGGTGGAATCCTGGCCTTTTTGAGTGAGTAATATTGCATGTAGCAATCAGTGGCTGCCCCCATAAGCCTGCAGGCCACCAGGGAGATGAGCCAGACCCTTGACACATCCTGTGCATATGGTGGTTTTTTTTTTTAAGTTAGCACCACAGTAACCTAAATTCTGCATCCTGAAAAGTCGGATTCTGCAATCGGAGTAACTTGCGCCCGTTTGTTTGGCTTCTGCTGTCCATGTGGACGGACTGAAGATAATTCACAGAAATTTTGCTGGTACTTGCTTTACTCCTCTCCAGTATGTCTGCTTCTGCCAGATACTGTACCTGCTAAATTTTTACACCCATCCTTGGAATTCCTCAATTAATCACAACAGAACTATCTGTTTTTAAAAATGACTCGTGATAACTGTGTGTCATCAAGTCAATTCTGACTTATGGTGACCCTTTTCAGGGCTTTCTAGCTCGAGAGTCCTCATATGTGGTTTACCTTTCTTTTCTTCTGGGGGCGCCCTGGGACTGTGTACATATGGTGACCCTTTTCAGGGCTTTCTAGCTGGAGAGTCCTCATACGTGGTTTACCGTTCTTTTCTGGGGGCGCCCTGGGACTGTGTACGGCTTTTGCCCAAGGCTATACAAGCTGGCTGGGGAGTGATAGTTGTTGTAATCTTACGCACACACACACAATATAGATATATATTTCCCAAGTCTTGATCCCTCCAGCCTCTGCCAAAATCAGCTGGAAGGAAAATGGTAGCTTGAAATATGAGTTCAAAGCACCACTGGAGAAACAGTTTTAATACTGGGAACTTCCAGGAAGTGGGAGAACAGCACATGGAGAGGAGACGGTGTTATTGTTGGGAGCTAGGCAAAAAGGCATCTTATTCCCTGGTGTGTTTCCTTTGGAGTTTTCTTCTGCCACCATGAGAGCTAGCAACTTGGTGCATGTGTAAATCCTTTGGCCGCTGTCTCTCTGTGCCATGCAGCCGGCCCATTTCCAGGTTGCTGGGTCTGATAAAACACATACCCCGTAGTTGCTGGGTCTGATAAAACACATACCCCGGCACTTCAGACAGCTGTCTCTCTCTGGGGTTGTCGCATGGGGTTGCTCTGTTCCATGCTGCCCAAGGAGGATTTGCACCCTGCTGGAAAGCAGTGGGTGATTCCTGGCTCAAGATGCACCCTCCGCACAGTTGCTGGAGCTCACAGTCACCTCTCCAACTTTTTTTTAAAATTCCAGTCCTGCTGCTGCTCCTGCTGCTCTTCGTGAGGAGGAGGAAGGTGGTGAAGGAGCCACTGCTTCCCCCTGAGGATGACACCCGGGACAACGTCTATTATTATGATGAAGAGGGTGGTGGAGAGGAAGACCAGGTGGGCCTCGAACTCTGGACCCCAGGAGGACTAGAGGACTGAGCAGTATAGGGGACTGCCTGATTGAATCAGACCCTTGGCCCAATAACCCTAGTATTGCTAGCTCTGACTGGCAGCCATCAGTTCTTGAAGGATTCTTTCCCCGCTCCATCTGGAGACCTCTAGTCTAAACTTGGTGGTCTCCCATCTGCAGGATCATTGAGCCTGAACCTGCTTAGCTTCCAAAATCAGAGGAGATCAAATGTATGGCTTGGTGAAATTTTTCTTCCTCCCCGGGAAATTTTTCTTACCTTGCCTCCCAAGCCTCCATTTTCATTTGCTAATATTATATCCCATTGACTCGCCTACCAAGCTGACCATGCTCCTTGGCGCTCCCTTTGCACCAGTCTTCCCTTTGCACCAGTCTTGGACAACCCTTGGCGCTCCCTTTGCACCAGTCTTCCCCAGGCTAAATATATTGGACAATAACTCCCATCAGTGGCCATGCTGGCTGGGGATGATAGGAGGCACACAGTCCAAGAAATCTGAGCTGAATCAAGTTGTTCCAAGTCACATTCCTTACTTTAATTTCCTTTTTTAGTTTGCGCATCCCTAGCAGTTTTGATTTAATTAACCATCCCCTTTAATAAGCACAACCGGCAGTCCACTCTGAGAATTTCGAAATGGGCTCATTGCCTGGCTGTAAACCATGGGAGTGCCAGCAAGATTCTGTCCGTAACTCTGATCCTTTTGCATCTGTTTCCTGATGGTCTCTTCTCTTCTCAGGACTATGATCTGACTCAGTTGCATCGGGGCCTGGATTCTCGCCCCGAAGTCACCCGCAATGACGTTGCCCCGACTCTCATGGCTGCCCCGCAGTACCGTCCACGCCCGGCCAATCCCGACGAGATCGGCAATTTCATTGACGAGGTGAGCGGGACTTGGTGGTGCAGCTAAGTGGAGCCTGACTCTGGCCCTTAAAGCTGGGGCTGACCTGAGGCTTCCTGCCGGTGCTACTAATAACCTAGTATCTATCGCCTTCCTATTAAGAGAATAGTCTTTATCATAATTCTAGGGCAATGCATGCTGTTTTATCATCTAGTCCAATATCACCAACTCTGACTGGCAGCAGCATGTCACTAATGTTTCATGCGGGATGCTTTTTAGCTACATGTGGAAAGGCCAGGATTAAATTTATAATCTGCTGCATGTCAAGCCACTGTTCACCCATTGAGCTGTAGTTCTTCCATTAAGAACAGACGAACAGGGGAAGCTGTTTGACTGTTCACCCATTGAGCTGTAGTTCTTCCCTTAAGAACAGAGGAAGCTGTTTTAACAGGGAGTCAATTTAGTGTCACCTCTGGCTGGCAGCAAACAGCATTCCAGGCCAGATCCTTCCTTAGCTCTACCTGCTGCTGGGGATTGATCTGTTCTGCATGCATGGTGAGCTACGGCCTCTGTTTCTTAATTGCTCTCACGCAGAGCAACCTGAATCGATTGCTGTTGTTTTTTAATCCCCTTGCTCCAGAACCTGAAGGCCGCGGACACCGATCCCACAGCCCCGCCGTACGACTCTCTGCTCGTGTTTGACTACGAGGGCAACGGATCCGAAGCCACCTCCCTCAGTTCTCTCAATTCCTCCAATGGAGACCGAGACCAAGATTACGACTATCTGAACGACTGGGGCAACCGCTTCAAGAAGCTAGCAGACATGTACGGAGGGGGAGAAGAGGATGACTGAGTGTGATGGGAATTTTTTTGGGGGGGGGTGTTAGCTTTCGGTATGCCAGAAAAAGAGAGAGAGAGAGATTGACAGAGAAAAAAATCACACCATCTTTCCCCAGCAGCCAATAGTGGGTCTGATGTGATTCTCTTTTCATTAAGTTATCAAAACTCTACAAAAACTTTACTCAATTCTGATGTTCGCCCTTCTTGGGGTAGACTGAGGCAATGCCATCTCCTGCACGAGGACTGGAATCGTTACGTGACCGTTACATGCTTTGGAAGCTTCTCATGCCTGGCCTGCCATCGCAAAATGGTTGATCTTTTCATTTCTCAGCGAAACATCAAGTGGAGAAGAGAATTCCCCCAACGAGGTCTGACTGGAAGCACTCCAACTGGGCGTTTCAACAGGTTTTCTTAAACCGCTGTCATTCACCCAAGGAAGAGGATCTCCAGAAAGGCTGAGAAGTTCTGCTTCAGGGCATCTGGAGTTTTGACCTTTCATCCTTCCTTGCTCTGCACTTATTACTTATTTTATTAACCCGCCAGTTGGCAGTAAATTGCAAAATCATAAATATCTCATCCAACATTAAAAAAGATATGCAATAAGGAGGATTATGTAAAAATGAAAAGGAATGTTTAGCCACAGTATATTCTGCCTATGATGCCTTCAAGCACTACAGTTTGGTGATATGCAGGCCAAGCTATGAAATTCTTGGGGAGCAACCTGCTTCCCAGTAGCAACACACTTCAGGGACTTCTAGCACTGTGATGCCAACACGTTAACCAAAGATGATTCTAGGGACACTTTACGTGTTGTACGATTCTACAAAAGCACAGCATAAATGTAAAAAATTGACACAAGGGAAGAAATTGGAGTAGCAGAGGATTTCAACTTCTTCTTCACCCCCTGGCCTTATGACTGCAAAGGTGGGCAGTACTTGATAAGATCCTGGAAACTGAAGCAGGGTTTCATGCAAGCATTATTTCTACCGTTAGTGAATGCTGCAGAATCTCCCTTTCCTTGGCCTAGAAGTCTAGTGGGATGCTCTGAGGATCTGCCGCTGGATTTGCGGCTTCCATCAGCAACATCCAACCTGACTAATAGCAGAAGATCTTGGTCCATGTAGTCCAACACCCCCAGCAAGCACACCTGTTTACTCCTGCTTTTAAGGGCTTCTGAATTGGTTGGTCCCTGTACTTCTGCCCTGCCGCCTTAAAAACTGACCACTAGTTCTCTGTCCTCTTGGACAAAGGGTGGCCCAAGTTTATGACTCCCCAGAATATTGCAGGTGGATGTGACCACATTGTGATAAACTCTTTGAGTATGTCTAAAGACAAATTCCAGCCTTTCTTGCTATGTCTTATTCCATTTTTTACACCTGTTCCCGGGCAATGCATAAGATACAGTTGAATAAGAGGTTGTTTTCTTCTGTTGCATTTATAACCGTAATAATCATCATCATCTTAGAAGCAAGTCATCAGTTTTTGATTTTGAGTTGTCAGTCCATGCCCACTGCTCATTGCTTCCTGCTCTGTATTTTCCAATGTTTAATGCTGACTGTATAATTACTATCTAATTGATGGTCTTCTTCCTTTAAAAGTAATTTTCTTTGTTTTTAAATCTGTACATTTTGCTCTTCTTTTTGAATATATTGTTAGGAATAGGGGGACATACACATAAAAACCATTATTATTTGTACCTTGTTTTACAGATTCTTTTTTAATAAAAGATTAATTTAAAAAATCTTTAAAACCATGCAGACTGTGTGTTCTCTTTTTAAAAATCTCTCTCTCTCTTTCAATGTTTCTCTTTTTTCCCTCTTAGAAAAATGAATGCAATGGACAGCAGAAATATCAGATATGTTATTTATTGACCTAAACCCTGGGTGGGTTTCTGCCTGCACATGAGAAGGAAATGACATCAGGGTCAGCAATAGACTGCTGCTGAGTTAAAGACTTCCAATTTGGTTTTGAGTTGCATGTAGCTCACATGCAGGGATCCTCTGGCTTGCCCCTTTCCACATTGTTAAAGATATATTAATTAAGATATATTTGTCTGACCAATGCTTCTTTCTTTCTTTCTGTATTCTATAACCTGTCAGTCACTCCACAGGAACCACTGACCTAGCTATTTGAAACACTCCAGTAGCAACGTGATTGAGTCAACTACGTGATCCTGTATTTTCTTGCACATCCCATTACGCTTTATCACTCTTGTGAAATGTAACCACAGGCAAGGTCCAAAACCTGTCCAGGCAAGCATCCTCACTACAGAACAGGGTAACAGACACGCTGCCAAGTGTCCACACTTGATCAGACCTCCTGTGTCTCTAAGGCTGACCATAATCTGTTATGAAACATTCCATCTTTCTTGCATATTTGACAAGGAAGAAGCAGACGATAGTACCCGTCTTATTTTGTAACTGCTGCAATGTAACTTGCTGTTTGGTGGGATTGGCTGCTCGCCCCACCTTGTTAAAAGGATGCTTTAAAAGCTGTGTGATTGCTCCATGTCATTGTACTCTCGGTTTAATTGGGGGATATCTCCACCAGTGGGAATAAAGCATCTTTGTTGCCACACTTATCTTCCGATTATTTTGCCTCCAAAATGTTCACCGGAGAACAAACCTTTAGGTTTTATTTAAGGCCCACCCACAACACACATCATCATCATCTGTCTGCCCGTAACTATCGTCAACCTAAGGCTGTGAGTTTATGGAGTAAATCCATCTCACGTTCAGCCTTCCTCTTTTCCTGCTGCTGCCAGCTCTTCCCAGTACTTCTGTCTTTCCTGGCAAGTTTAGTCTTCTCATCATGTTCCCAAAGTATGGCAGTCTTAGTTGAGTCATTTTTGCTTCTGCAGAAAGTTTCAGGTGATTTGAACTCTTGCATGCAAGATTTTCAACTTGCTTCCACAGGATGTAGTCAGCGGTTGCAAAGTGAAAACCAGCAGTTCTAAGATGATGATGACGATGACCAAGGAGTCAATCAAAACTGTAAAAACATTGACTGGCATCATGTAACAGATACAAGCTTTAACCAAAAACCTAAGTATCTGTTAAATATGGGTGCAGTATGTATGTTGTTCCCAATACTGCCATTTTTTATAGCTATGATGGTGTAATTTCTGATATCCGCAACTGTGTAATGATGGCTGAAATTTCTTAATATTGTTCACAAAGCCCTGATAACTACAGGGACCACTGAAGTGTATTTCTTCCAGAGGTGTGATGTTTTGATGGCCAGGTGTCTGTACTTTGTTAGCTTTTCTAATTCTTTATTTTATAAAGAAAATGAAAAATAAAGGGCTGTTGTTTTGTTGTTGTTGTTAGTAATATTAGCCTCCAGAAGAGAGTTTTTGGGCTACAATTCCCAGAACCCCCCTGCAAACATGGCCCCTTTGCTGACTAGGGGATTCTGGGAGTTGCAACTGTTTTTCAAAACCACCTTCTCGAAGCTGAACTCCAGACTCCCACATCAAAAAGGCGTGTTCTCTAACTTTGGATGTTCATAAATAAAATAACTGCTCGGCGCTGACAACCTAAGATAAAAGCTCTAATTTGAATTTTCAACGCATTCCCCCTTCTTGACCTTCCCTCAATGGCGGCAGCCTCGCTTGACCGTATTACTCGGCCCTTCTCAAGAGGGCGGCGGCCAGCGTTCCCGTCGCACTGCGCCTGCTCCGACCTTTCCAAGATGGCGGAAGAGCAAAGGCTCCGCCCTCCCCCGCCGGACTTTGCCAAGATGGCGGACGGCAGTGGAGCGTCGCGCTCTCAGGAGGAGGGAGGAGGTGTCATGGCCGCCCCCGATGCGGTGCTGAAGCGGACGATGGAGGCCTTGGAGCTGCTGCTGGGTAGAGCCGGTGCGGCTGCCGGTAAGAAGGAGGGGGAAGGAGATGGCCTCGCCTGCTTTGTCAGATGCATGAAGCGCAGAATTCAAGCTACAGGTTTACGTGCAAACTTTTTCTGGTTCTGGTCTTGGGACGAGGGATGTAGTCATAAATTGGGAAATGGTGGTGGTGAGGGGCTCATCGTGACAGTCCCCCCTCCCGCCAGCCAGCTACCCTTCCGCAAAAAGAGTCCAAAATTCAGATAGCTGAAAGGGAGCAATTGAGGAGCAGGTCTTTTGCAAAGGGAATGGCTCTTAGTTGTCCATTCAAGACTTTAAAATCCCTCCATGACTTTGCATTAAAGCAGGGGCACCTTGCAAATATATCCCTTTCCTGAGAAAATCCAGTTCCTGTGAGCATTACAGATAAGCTCAAGGGGAAGAGTAGACAGTAATCTGCAACCACCACCACCACCACCCATGGTTCTTGCACTCATGGGGGTGGTATAGAAATCAAATGAATGAATGCACAGCAATGCCTGATGGGGTAGTGGATGATACCCTTGCCCTGGCTAGTCAAAAGGTCTTACACCCTGGATCCTGCAAACTCTGGGTCCACTGCACCTCTGGGTGCCCTGGATCCTGCAAACTCTGGGTCCACTGTGCCTCTGGGTGAGACATAATGTGCTGATAATTCTGGTGTTAATAAATAAATAAAATAAATAAATAAAATAATGTGCTGACAATTCTGGTGTTAATTACAATAACATCAGCTTTCAAAGGACTGGCTAGGGTAGACGCCCCAACATCAGTAAGGTCAGTTACTCATGTCATTTATCCTTCAACATGTCAATACAATGCTTTTTCTTTTCACAAGACGATCAGTTTCAGCCGAAGCCTATTCATTTCACAGCCCTCATGGCTTTTAAGCCATACACAGTAGGGTAGTAATGCAGGCAGACCTGTGTAGATGAGCTAATTGGCATAGGATGATAACAGAGAGAGTGTAACAGAGGATTAGGAGAGGGGGCACCATGTCCTGGAAGCAGGACATCACAGTTGGTGGCCTTACCTTGATGAACCTAATTTTCTTTCTCTCTTGCCGTAGGTCCCGGCCATCTTCAGGAAACCAAGCACGGTGATCTGCTGGAATCCTTACGCTTCAGCGTGGCCACTTTGGAGGAGAAGTTGGTGCAGGATCCGCACTGGGGTGGCCTGCAGAGGCTGAGAAGTGAGCTCTCTCTGCCGACATCGGGGTTGCCCGTCTCGCCTGGAGATGTCCCGTGGAGTTTCACCTGCCACGCTCTACTTCTGCTGCAGTCCCTGAAGCGGTGCCTGGCCCTCGTGGCAGCCTCTTGCCAACCGGCTCAGCCGAACCCCAAGACAGCTGAGGCTGCCCCTCCTCTGAGCCCGGACACTCTCAGCATCGCTCAGGAGAAGACTGTGCGGGCGGCTTTACAGTTTGTCGTCACCTTGGGCCTGTGCCCGTTCCTCTTGCCGGGCGTCGGGCTCCCCCTCCGATGCAGGACGGAGTTCAGTGCTCAGGTTCAAGACATTGTCCCGCGCAGCCATCTGGCCGGTGCCATGAGCAAGCTTTATACCACATGCATGAGCCTGGTGGAGATTGCTCAGCACCCGTCTCTGGGCAGCCTCGTGCTCACGCGCCACCTTGGGGACCTCTTGGCTGGCCTGTGTCAGCTTGGATATTGTCCGGTGAGAAGGAAGGAGAACGATGAAGCAAAGAGAACGATGGTAGGTGTTCATCCTGGATTCACACAGGCAAACAACTCTCTTCCTAGCTTTTTTTTGGTCAGCCCTCATTTCAGAAAACTTTCCACTGCCTGCTTTCGGTTACCACTGTGTTTCCAGAGACGGCGCTTAATTATATTTATTAATTTACAAATCTATATGATGGACATGTCGTTTCTCTCCCCAGAGCATTTCAGAAAACTTTCCACTGCCTGCTTTTGGTTGCCACTGCGGGTGTTTCCAGAGACGGTGCTTAATTATATTTATTAACTTACAAATCTATATGATTGACATGTCGTTTCTCTCCCCAGAGGGGACCCAATGTGGCTTACAACAAGTAAAACTGTTATGATGTTCACAAGTTTGAAATACAACACAAAACAATGTTGAAAACAATTAAACATAAATCAAGATTAAAGCCAATTAAAAAAAATAGTTTTAAAAACATTAGGAAATATCTAATGGTCATAAATGGATCATTGCAGCTGCCTGTATGAGAACCACAGAGACCTCACCTGCATTGTGTTTCATGTCTCCTAGTGTCCAATGCAAAACTTTTTGGAAGCTGGCTAGGGGTTGCCCATATCCCCCTAGGTAAAGGTTCCCCTTGACATTTAGTCCAGTCGTGTCCGACTCTAGGGTGCAGTGCTCATCTCCGTCTCCAAGCCATAGAGCCAGTGCAACTAGACACAGAACGCTGTGACTTTCCCACCTTGGTGGTACCTATTTATCGAATCGCATTTTTACATGCTCTCGAACTGATAGGTTGCAGGAACCAACAACCCCCTAGAGGGAGCTAAAGGTTTATAATAAGATGCCTTGTTTCTCTTTATGGGATGTTTTAGGGCTTAACTGAAGAGGAGCGAGCCAGGTGCCGGAAGGCCTTGCAAGGTCTCTTGGACAGAGTCTACCAGCCCCTGGTGGTCCGAGAACTGCTGTTGCTTCAAGGTGGATCCAAGCAGGTATCTGAGGTCATCTGTGTATCATGAGAAATCTAAGTTTGCAGCCTTCTTGGCAGAATTTGGCCAGCAAAGAGGACATGCCTTCCATGGTATCATCAAGGAAGCGTTTGGCATGGTTTGTTTTTTAATTTCATTTTCAGTACCTAAGCAGGGAGTAGAGTCACCAGCTGAGAAGCATCCCATTCACTAAGCCGGAGAACAAGGTTACAGGACCCCATGTAGAGTCCCAGTAGAAAGGCTTGTCAACCCCAGTAGCAAAAGGTGGTACGGGAGAGGCAGGCAGTGTAGACTCTCAAGAGATGAATTGAAAGGTCAGCCATTCCATCATTTCCGGCACCCCCATAAATCTCTTTGGAGATACGGGGCAGCTTACACGCGGGAGAGGCAGGCAAGAGATGAATTGAAAGGTCAGCCTGTGAATTCCATCAGGGACAGTGGCTCTAGAGCAGGCAAGCATCTCGGGTTGCCAAGTTAGCACCACCCTGTTCCCTGCAATTTCAGGGCCAGACCCTGAGACCTGAAAAGCAAGCCAAGAAACCTGGATCTTAGGACAGAAACCTACGATCTGCCAGTCCTAACAAGGTTTGGGGCAACCCAGCTTTTTCTTATTCCATGCTGACTAGAGGAGGGATCCCTAGAGAAGGAGAATCAGCTCCTCCACCCGGCCTGCCTGTCCTTTAGACTCCTGAGCCACAGGGTGCTTTGGCCCTCTGCAGCTGGTTAGTGCCTTATGCAAACAGAAGCCCCTCCTCGGAAACCACCATCGTGTCTTTCCTCCCTCCCCCCCCCCAGCTTGTGGCTAGCTGCTGGCGTGGTTTAGCCAACATGGCATTTCCTTTTTTTATATCCTTTCAGGGCTCCCATTTCCCCCTGTCCTTTAGACTCCTGAGCCACAGGGTGCTTTGGCCCTCTGCAGCTGGTTAGTGCCTTATGCAAACAGAAGCCCCTCCTCGGAAACCACCATCGTGTCTTTCCTCCCTCCCCCCCCCCAGCTTGTGGCTAGCTGCTGGCGTGGTTTAGCCAACATGGCATTTCCTTTTTTTATATCCTTTCAGGGCTCCCATTTCCCCAGGAAAGATCTTGTGGCTAGCTGCTGGCGTGGTTTATCCAACATGGCATTTCCTTTTTCTATATCCTTTCAGGGCTCCCATTTCCCAAGGAAAGATCACAGCAAGCCTTGTTTGGAGCTGGCCCCTGCCTGGCTTCGGCGTCTCTGTGGGCAGCTGCTCTCCGAGAGGTTGCTGAGACCCGGAGGAGTTCAGGCCGTGGTCCGTGGCATCCTGGAGGGTGCAGGAGGTGAGTGAGCAGTTTGGACGCTGCAAGAGCCCTGAAGTTAAATCAGTGCATAAGCCTACCTCATCGGGCATCCGGCTTCTCTCTGTGACGAGCTGGATGTTTTCAGAGCCCAGACTCTCAAGGCAAGCAGTGTATCTTGTGTCCGTGGCCCGTGTTTGCTCCGTGGTGTTCTAACGACCTTTTCCCAGAGCCTTGATGCATGGGCTGTGTGTCTTAAGCAAGACATTTCCCTTTAAAAACAAAGCCCGCTTGTGAATTCAAGATTTTGTTTTATTTCTACAGATCCCCACAGTTTTCTCGTTTTTAGGTCAAACCTGTTCTATAAAAACTAACCCGGATCGTCTCCTCTTTTCAAGCCGGAGCAGCCGGGGGCCACAGTGCCGAAGCAGCTGCGGCCGATTGGCAGAAGTGTGACACAGTGGCCCACATCCTGTCCTCTTGCCCTCAGCAGTCACTCTCCCTGGAGGATTACTACCAGCAGGTGTGCCAACAGGTACGCTTTGCAGAGTTTAAAGTTGTATATATTATTTTATTTATTTTGGACTTTGATTCCCAGAATCTTTTTTTTTTCTTTACAAGGTTTGTGGCTTTCTTTACAGAGTTTTTGACTTTTTCTTCTTTTGGACTTCTGGAATCTGTAGTCCAAAACAAGCAATGTTTTCAAGTTCTGGTCCTTTTCTGTTACACAGAGCCTGTAGGTTCACAAGTTAGCTGTGGAGGGTCTGTAAATGCAAGACCTCCGCATCCTGGTTTCTAGGAAGAGCATGTTCCTTACTTAGACAAACACTGAGGCCCATCCATCCTTCAATATCTTCTGCAAAACACTGTACTTTGTATTTTATAACTTGGTTAACAGTCCCCTGTATACAAAACCTACACACCCATACAAGGGTTTAGCAATGCTCCAGATCCAGCCCCAGGCAGCAAAACAAGAACGTGTCTGTGCACCGTTTGTCATCCAGGTTCTGCAGCTGTTCCACGTTCAGGATAAGCTGGCCGCGCGCCAGTTCCAGCGAGTTGCCACCACAACGGTCCTCACCATGGCAAGGAAGCACCCGCAGCAGGTGGAGAAGTATCTTTTGTGTCCCATGCTCGAGCCGCTTCTGCGCTGCTTGAATGGAGCAGGTAAGGGCTCCCCCCCCCCAATAGCCACTTGGACCCACTGGGGAAGTTGGAGAGGACCCAAGGAAGGGCAGGGCAGGGCAGGGAGCCCACCTGCCACTTATGCCCACTTCTGCTCTCCATGTGAGCCGTGGAAGTTAAGCAGTTAAGCACATCTTGGAACTGTTTGTGCTACACTCTGTGTTCCTACAGTCACAGAAGCTTGGCGAGATCGCCTGTAGTGGAGGAAAAAGTTGAAACAACTTGTTCGGGATTTTATGGAGCCTTCGGTTTTATCCAGGGGTGGCCGTCGAGCAAAACTGAAAGAAACAGAGCATACGATGAGAATGGGTTAACACACCTCTGAAGATGATTGAGGCTGTTAAAGTGTTCATGATGATCCTTTCCTCTGTTTTGTTCAGAAATATCCCCGGAAGACCTGCCGGAAGGGAAAGTGCTGGTGAAGGAAGCAGAGCTCAGTGTGTGCGTGGAAAACATTTATAAGGTACAGGATATGACAAAAAAAAACCCTCCACCACCACCCACCCTCCTGGCCAGTGTATGTTACGATTGCAAGAGAGGCAATGGGCATTTCAGAGAAGGAAGGACCACTGGAACAGCTGATCCAAGGCATTCTGTCAGCTGAGGCAAGGCTCAGACTGCCCTGGAGGAGGGGGGCCCGTGTGCCGGGAACTGCCCCGGTGAGCCTGCGGTCCTTCGGCAGAGGTGGTCTAGCTGGCGGTGGTGGTGGGCAACATTTCCTTTATTGGTAGCAGCCGCACTAGTAATACCTGCTGTTCTACCCCAGCTTTCCGCTAATAGGTTCAAAGAAAGGACACTTCCTTTTCCTTCCTCCCTGCTTTCTCTTCGCAACCGCCTCATGACGGAGGTCTGTCTGAGCGGGTGCCAGGTCATCTACGGAACTTCAGGGCTCAGTGAGGGCTAGAACCTTAATCTTCCAGGTTCTGATCCAGCACTCTCAGCAATGCATTACCCTGGCTGTTAGACAAGGTCTCCTTTAAGCAGCAAGTTTAGCTCCTCCTCGTGCCCTTCTAGCTCCGATGCTGAAAGTGGGATTATAGTTCAAAGGCAGTGGAGTTATGGGTTTTCAGATTTGGGGTGCTTTTCAGACTCGGTGTTTCTGCAGCCAGTTTCCATGCTGAGGGTTGCCCTTGAAGCGAGTCTTTTGCTTTGCTCTTCACGCCTCGCCTCACGGTCCTGCGAGCCCAGCATTTTGGAAACCCCAGCAGTGAGGCTGTCCCTGTCCGTTTGTCACAATTATGGCCCGCTGACATAGTTGCCGACCTTCCCTTCCAAAGCTGCGATTGCTGGATGGGCCGATCAGCCCTCTGGTGTCCGTGGGTGGGCCTTGGACTGAGCAGCTTGCTGAGTGAGCAGAAATCTCTGAAAGGGAGACTGGCCGGCTTGCGCAGCCGCCGTTGTTGTGAGACCATCGCCGTGCTGTGGTGGGGCCAGGGTGGGTTTCCTTTGCCTTGGACAGAGTCTGGGGTTTTGGAGCAGCACCAGTTTGCAAGAGAGGTCCCAGAGCCGCCACCACCCTGCATTTGGCAGGCACCTCTGTGGGCTGAGCTGCTAAAGGCAGCAATCGCACGATCATGTCTCGGGTACTCACGCTCTGTTCTCGTCAACGGGCAAGCCGTGACAGGCCTGAGAGGCTGCTTGGCGGCTGCCGAATCTTCTCTGGATGCCCAGCAGTGCCGGGGAGGGGGGAGGGGCTGCTGTCGCCCTGACACACCCAAGGGGGATTAAAACAGCAGACGTGAGCTTCCAGAAGCCACGGGGCCTTTATGTCCCAGGTGTCACCCGATGCCAGGCTGAAGGGGGATCGGGGACTCCTCTTAGCCCACCTCCATACGGGGCGGAGCTGTCTCGCGAAGATGCCGCTTGTTCAGAACGGACAGCTCTGATGGGCCCAGGTGAAAACAACGGGCCCTTGCTTTGCTGGGGAGATGGCTGACTCGCAGGCTTTGCTTTTTGGCACCAGGCGCTACAGTGCCTGGGGAGAGGAGCTTTGCCTTGGTCCGTAGGCGGCTGGATGACCCAGGGGGACTCTGGGCAGAGAGAGCTAAGCAAGAAAACCGATGCAAGGAAGGGTCACGATATCCCCGAAGCAGGACAGAGAACCTTTACCATCCTGGATATTTTGGATGGCCACGCAAGCCCCCCCATCCCTAACCTCTAGCCTGGGGTCCGAGGTGTTTGCAAAGCCGAAGGGTTTCCTGTCCCTTCCCTGAGAAAGAAGCTCTCGGCCTTTCCTCTTGACTTGGTGGTACATCGGGCTTCAGGGCAGGGTGAGTCCCAGCAATTTCGGAGCTGCCTGGGAGTTGATGCCCTTACCTAAGGCCAGGGGGAGAGAAAGAATGAATACACTGAAATTCTCTGCCAGGAATAAGGGAATAAGGACCTGTCCTGTTGCAGTTAAGCCAGCCTGCAGCAGCCTTTCCTTGCGTGGCTTGGTTGCCCCTCTGCTAATCCTGCAGAACGGCTCGTGGAGTGATGAAGACCTTGACGCTTTGTCAGCAGAATTGTTCTGGAATAGTCACTCTCAGACTGCAACGCCCCAAATCCCCCAGCCAGTCAATGGGTCCGGAGAGCATCCTCCCTTCTTCACCTGGCACTCTCTCTCCTCACAGGTGTACGTGGTTGGCAACGAACCTTCCCCTGTAATGCTCTCCACCCTGAAGCGTGTCCTGGGAGGCGTCTTCTCCCTCTGGTGCTTCACGAAGCAGAACGTTTCTTTTCTACGGTAAGGGGTGTGATGCAGAGCAGTTATTCCACCCTTGGCGCTTCTCCTGTGCCCTTGGAGAAGCCTCCCAGATCAGGGGCTGGCTGCCAGGGAAATCAAGGGCTGGGCTTTGTCTTGCCACTTGCAAGGTGAGGCTGTCATCCAGTGGGGCGTGGCTGTGCCTGGCAGGGAAGCTTCCTGCCCCCCAGGAACTTAACTTCGGCAGTAAATGGAAGGTTGCCTTCTGTGCCCTGAACAGCTAGGCCATATCTGGGCAGGATGTGGGTGGATGATGAATATAGCTACTTCTTGTAGGCTGGGGGAATCTGCAAGACTTCTGTACGGAACAGGATTTCCATGTTGCCTGCACTCCCTTGTTATGTGCCTGTGGGCAAATGCGCTTTCCACCCTTGTGCAAACGATGGTTGGTCCCCGATTTAAAGGCTCAACGATGTGGCTAAAATGGAGCTTTCCAAATGTGTTTGGTGCTTCCTTTGGACCACGGCTTCATGGGGAGAAAGGTCCCTTAACTGGGAGAAAAGCGGCATATGAATGAAATATATATATATGAATATAAATGAAATATATGTACATAGAGATGGCTTACCATTGTGCTTCCCTCCTGGCAGCACCCCCAGCCAGGAGATCCTGCTGTGGTTCCTGGAGAAGAGCGAGCGGCCGACAACTCTCGCGGCTCTGGAAGGATTCGCCCAGCTGGGCGGAGGGCCCCCCCTGCTCCATCCGCTCTGCCAGTTTCAAATGGGCAGTGGCGGGGGTGTCATGATCACCGCCAAAGAAGCCGCCAGGTGAGAAAAGAGAACTGGTGGCTTCCCAACACCACCACCCCCAAAGTGAGGTTAGTGGTGGAAGCTGTGGAAGAGCGGATCTGGGGAAGGGTCCTCCCAGGCCCTTCCCGGCTGCCGGGAGAGCCATGGCTTGGCCTCTAGGAAAGGCTTGCGGTGCCTCTTCCACAGGGACGAAGATGAGATGCTGTATCAGAGAGTGTGCGCGGAGCAGTGGCAGCTGGAGCAGCTGGTGGACTTGCTTTCCCATTGCCAGAGCGGGGGCTTAGCCGGGGACTTCTTCCTGTGCCGCTTGAAGGTAGGGTGACGGGGCTGCTCCCTTTGCACCCCTTCAGTTGCCTGCACAAGGAGCTCCTGGCTCTTCTCCACGTGTTGCACGGGCTCTTCCCAGGCGCCTTTAAGAGACCATCGCTTCTCTGTGCTGACGGGATGGGTCTCTTTTCTTCTCATTCCGCCCCACCTTCCCCCCCTCTTTCTCCTTCTCTTTGTATCTCTTTTTCTCTTGTGTGCGTTTCTCCCATGAAATAAGGGCTTTCATCCCTTAAAAAGGCACGGGTTACCTTTCCCAAGCCTGCAAGGTAGGCCTTGAGCCACTCCACAGCGGGGGCCGCCTGGGGGAAGCGAAGCAGCTGCAAGAAACATCCGCCGACCTTGCTCAGTGGCTCACTTTCTTCTCTTCTGCCTCTCTTTCTGCCCCACAGGAGCTGACCCTGGTGGCTCAGGGAGGAGCAGCAGAAAGGGCCCCTGTCTCCCCCGAGAGGGTCCAGAGCCTGGAGCATCGTTTGGAGCCCAGCCAGGAGCGGGACGAGAGGAAGCTGCGGGTGCTGCAGCTGGTGGCTCTGCTGTGCGAGAACATCTCGGGCACCCTTTTCACCGACATTACGCAGGTGAGCGGAGGCTGGCCAGGTGGTTTTTTGTTTGGTTGGGTTTTTTGACCTACCTACCACCATTTCACTCCTGAGCAAATTAAACCTGGACTCATTTTTTTTGGTAGGAACCCAAGCGGAGAGGGTGGGGTGGGGTGCGTGAGTGGGTGCACTCTGGGCCCCGCTCCTCCTCCCCATGGTAAATGCTAAGATCCATTTCAGCAGAGCAGAATGAAAAAGGCCGGTATTAATTTCAAGCGTCAAGGAACTCAGGAAGTTGGAGAAGGGAGATCAGGGCATCTGGCAGCCAGGTAGAGGAAGGGTAAACCCCAGCCTGTCAAAAAATAAAAATAAAAATCCAGCGATAGAAAGAGAGAGAGAGAGAGATGGGGGCTGCTTTAGGTACCTCCTTCCGAGACTTGCAAAATACAAAAAAAATCTGTTGACCTCTCTCAGAAGCAGACTTGCTGAGAGCACAACATCTCTCCCTCCCGCTGCCCGCTTTCTCCCTTGCTTAGATAATTAGGGAGTTTGCTGAAAAAACGAAGCCTGTCAAAAAAAGCAATTACTGTCCAGGTCGAAAACTTGGCAGAGCTTGATTTTCCAGGAGGGGGGGTTGCTGACGAATTTAATTACCGAGCACTCGTTCCCTGCCCCCCTTCTCCCCTGTGGCCCTCCCCATACACCTAGTCCCGGACTGGCATGGAAGGAGAACCAACCTGGCTATTGTTTCAAGGCAAATACCAGGAAAAACTTAGAAAGGTTATTTTTTAGACTCACATGTCCTGAACACCCCCTTGCATAGTCAGCATAGTCAAAAGTTTAAAAATAAATGTGTCTGTGATCCTTATTCTAACGCAGTGGTTTGTAAACCTGGTGCTCCATGTGTTCTTGGACTACAATTCCCAGAAGCCCTGGCTGTTGCCTTTGCTGGCTTCGACTAGTGGGAGTTTTAGTTGGAGGATACCTGAGGCTCCAAGTTTGGGAACTGCTGGTAGAGTCGTTTTTTAAAATAATGAATTGCTGTTATTCATTGGGAGGTTGAATGGTGCACTTCTGTTCATACTTTTCCATCACTAAACTACATGGGGGGGGGGAGTCGATGTGAGTTTGTTCCCATGAATGTTCTCTGGGTGTGTTCAAGGACTCGGCTGTCTTTCAGCCAAATGGCACAATATCTCATGGCCTTTCTCTCTCTGTGTCCATCTGCAGGTTGTGGAATTTGTGGCAGCGACTCTGGAGCGGGCCTGCGCCAGCGCCACGCACAACTCGGAGATGACGGTGGAAGCCCAGACGCTGAGCATGGCCATGGGACTCGTGGCCGCCATGCTCGGAGGAGCTGTGCAGGTGAGATGTGCCAGGGCTCTCCCTGAAACAGCCGGGGTGCCCTCTGGCACCACGGCCTCGTTGCTGCAAACTACATCCCATTTTAGTCCCAACAAGAGTAGACCTGTGGAAACGAGGGAGGCTAGTTAGCCGGCACGAAGGCGAGCCCGTTTATATTTCCCTGGGCCTGCTCTGTCTGAGACTTAAAATGTTTATATAGCCTATAAAACCCAGTGAAGAAGGAGCGGATCAAAGATGTGAGCAATTCTGTTTACACATCAGTCTTGCCACTGAATGCACGCACTAAGGAATTTGCCTATTGGTCGAAATGCCCGTGGCTGGTAACTCACTGCCCAGGGCGGCCCACGGAGAGGGTTGCCCGAATGGGAATGGCTCCAGAGGCGTGAGCCCCATCGGGTCCCTTGTCCCTAGCTTGCAGAATCCCTCCCCCAGGGTCCCCCATCCGAGTCCAGGGAAGAAGCATTCCTTCTGCCAGGCAGCCAGGGAAACCGTCACCGTGTCTTTCCCACCCCGTCCGCCACAGGTTCCATCTGCCCTGCTCGAGGCATGATTGTATCTCTTCTGCCAGAATCTTTGCACACACCCATAACGGCAACCGCCGCAGAGGTTCCCTCGCTGCCTGCCGTTCCTGCAGGCCTGGGGAGATTCTCAGAGGTTTTCCCCTCTTGTGACTAATAGGCTGGGTGTTTTCTGCCTCTCCCCCCAGGTGAAGCCCTCCGACTTCGCCGCCTTGAAGCGTCTGGTGCCCCTGCTGGAGGAGACGTCCCAGGTTCACCCGGAGCCAGTCATCCAGGAGCTGGCCACCGACCTCCGCATCGCCATCTGCACCCACGGAGCCTTCTGCTCCGAAACGGTCTCGTCTGCTGCTCAGCGTACCCTGGGCAAGAGCCACACGGGGGTAGTGGGTGACGCGAGGGCTCGCGGGAGCCAAACCTCCGTGGAAGACCCCCAAGGCGATCCCTCCCTGCCTAAGGCGACCACGCCACAGAACCCCGCGGGGAGCAGCTTGGCTACCAAGCCTATCTCTTCCGCCCCGGAAGGGTGCCCCCCGGCTGCACCATCTGGCACAGAGGCCGAGCCCGGCTCCCAGGACTCTCCGGGACTTCCAGAGCTCCTCTTAGCCGCTTATGACCCCGACATCCCCACCCGAACGGCTGCCTTGCGCTGCCTGTCCCGCTTGATTGAGCGCAGGACCCCGGAGGCTCGGAAGGCGCAGGAGATGCTGCTGAAGGTAGGCCGCCCGAGGGTGCTCTTCCTGTGCCTCGCCTGCCCTCGCCTGGCTTCCTGGGAACATCCACAAGGTGCAGCACAGCCTTGTAAAGCTCCGCACAAGCCCGGGCAAGCCGCTTGAAAAGAGTCTGGGAGCCAGTTTCCCACCTCAGAACCCACCGAGGGCTGCACCCATCCCAGAACTTTAAGGGGGGAAAGAGCCCCTCTGGTTTCCGGAATACTTTTGGCAAGGGTTGGGGCGCTGAAACCCGTGTAACTGTTTTTCCGGGAGACAGGGCGGGCGAAGAGCCTCGGAGGGGATACACTCTGTGAACAGCACACGGCTTGCCCCTGTTGCCCTCCTGCGGAGGAGAGTTTGAACGGGGAAAATCCTTGTGTGCTGTGAGTGTCCTGAAAGTGGGCCGGGTGGGGGGGCTCCCTCTCCAGCCCTCTTTTTTTTTTGGTCGCTCCCTGCATGTTGTGTTAGTAGTGTTTGTAGCATGGTCTCATGGGGGGGGGAAGGGTGCGCCCACTTCCAAGCCTCTTGGGAGAAGTCCTGCTGCTGATCGAAGGAGCCAGTTTTCTGGCATGGGATGCCGGGATGTCTTCGCTCTTGCGAAGTCGTTTTCTGCTCCCTTCCTGGCACCCAGAGCACACACCCCCCCCAGTTGGCTCTTTTCCGATGCCCGGAGGTTTCTCTCTGCCATGGCCAGGATGGACTGGGCTTCGTCCAAAGCAGCCATGATGCCTCCTTGTTGGCGGCATCCCGTGGGACTGGGCTGAGGTCTTGCTCTCCGGGAAGGATGCGGGCAAAGCTTTGCCTTTTGCTGCAGGGGGCTCAGGGAAGAGGGTGACCCACTCTGATGTCCTCCCCCCCCCCGTGATGTGATTCTGTGCTTCTATTTTTTCCAGGTTTTTGTCGAAAACTTGGAGCACGAAGACTCGTTCGTGTACCTGTCTGCTATCCAAGGTGAGTCGTTAGAAGCCAACTGTTGGCAGCCACCGCCTGCAGCCCCTTTCCCCGTGTGCCTGGAGGGTGACATTACCCTGGGTCAGGCTAATGGGTCCAGCTGGCATTTGGGGCAGTGAGAGACCCACCTCTCCTGGGAATGGGGGTGGGCGGCAGCATTGGGGAAAGACCACCCACTCGCCCTTTTTTCACAATAAAGTAAGTTATTTGGGATGTAATCCCTGGACAGCATAGTTAGGAACCCTACTAGGGAGGGGATTCTGGGTGTTGTAGTCTCCAAAGATTATTTCCCCAAGCACTGCACTCTGTCCTTTATTCCACAGTCGTAGCCTAGCTGACAACATACATTTGCAGCAGCCGTAGGTTGAATGCACGAAAGGGCCATCTCATTGACTTCCGTGAGAAGGGGAAAGAGTATTACGGTTCTGCTCCAGGAGCAGCAGTGTGATTTCCGTTCCCAGGCCCACATATTAAACACACACACACACACACACACACACTGCTATGTTTTATTAGCACACTTTGTCTTGTTGCTGTAAACCATCCTGGAATCTCCCATAATAGGTGACATACTGTAAATCTTTAAAAATAGAGGTTGCCTTCCAAGGCGCAAGGAGGAAATGTTTTCCGTACAACCAGACAAATCCTTTTCACGCAAAGTGGATTAAGTCGGCCCACCCCAATCCCTGTTTGGTTTCTCAGCCTCGCCAAGGTTCAGGATACGTGGATTTTCTCACCAGGCGCCTTCTGAGAATCTCCCTGGATTATTTTCCTGTAGCTTTTTTTTTTCTTTTAATGAAATGGTGTGCTACCGAATTGATTTCTGCCTCCTGGTGACCCGTCCAGGGTGTTCTAAGTAGGAAATTCCCTCCAAAGTGGTTTACCGGTCCCTCTTCCTGGGGCACGGGGGCAGTTTGCCCAAAGCCCCACAAGGGGCAGGACACCTATTCTCACACACACACACACACAGAGAGAGAGAGAGAGAGAGTGATCTCAGCTGGCCCCTCTTCCAGAAGGCCCAGAGCTGGGGGGGAGGGGCTCCGAGCCACTGAGCTGCACCAGCACCCTATGGAGTTTTTTTTCCGTGCTGTTGAAATACAGGCAAGCGCTCAGGTGTTGTTGGATTGGCTTCCCTCCTTGGGTGGTGGAAGTAGCGCTGTATCAGATTTCCACCTCCAGCCTGTTTTCAGAGCTCAGGTGGGAGACCGAGTCCTCTTTAAAGGCCCCACAGGATATGGGGAAAGAGGGTCCTGATGATTAGAAGGCCATTAAATCCCTTCCTTAGCAGGTGTCGATTCCACTTACGAGGGAATTGCGTGTCCACGCAAAGCATCCCCACACCTCTGGTTTCAGCCAAGTGGAGGAAGGAGTAGGGAGGTGAAGGCAAAAGGGCTTTCTCCCCTGCAGCAATCACACCGTGCCAGTTTGGGGCTTGTCTTGTCTTGAGCTGGCGAAGGATTTGCCCACGTCCCGTGGGTGGAAGCGACCAATGCTGGGCTTCCAGCACGTTGGAGAACCTTGCCACAGAGTCTCCCTCCTGCAGGGTGCTGAGTCAGGAACCGGGCTGAGCTTTGAGCGACGCCCGTGCTGCCTCAGAAGGCCTGTCAGGAGGCGGGGAGCCATGCCCCCCATCTCTGCCTCTGCTCTTTGCCCCAGATGGTTCTCCGCGCTCTCCATGTACCGGCAGCCCCCCATCCCGCAGAAGAGGCTGCAGCTAAGCAGGGCCGAGAGGTTCATTCGTGCCCGAGCAGCCTCTGCCACTGACTCACCACTCGGGGTTGGTGGAGAAGCCCTGAAGCCCCTAGAAACGCAAAGCGGCACTTTTTAATTCCTTCTGTCATGGTTTGGCAAGCCCAGAAAATGAGTAATAGGCAAGCTTGGTCTCCCAAAAATGCAAGACGGGGCTATCGGCAGGTCTCAGCCGGTCTGGGCCGTGGGAATGGATGGGAGTTGGGGCAAGGATCTCTTTAGTGCAGAATCTATCCCTTTGGGTGGCTTGAGGTGGTCTCCTGGGCCTTCAAGGAGGGCTGTTGGCGGGGCATGGGACACCCTCCAGCAGGGAAGGGGGCCCGCTGCTCAGCTCTAAGGGCTCCCAGGGAGCAGAGCAGAACTCCTGGGGTTTTGTTTCCACCTCCTCGTTTGCCCTCCGTTGCAAGCCAGGCATGTTAGGCCAGAGGTGCTTAGGCGGGTTAAACCACAAAGCCTCTGGACTGCAAGGTCGAAAGATCAGCAGTTCAAATCCATGCAGCGGAGTGAGCTCCCATCGCTTGTCCCAGCTCCTGCCAACCTAGCAGTTCGAAAGCATGTAAAAAATCTGTGTAGATAAATAGGAACCACCTCAGCAGGAAGGTCACAGCATTCCGTTACTAGTCGCGCTGGCCACGGAAATGGTCTATGGACAAACACTGGCTCTGCGGCTTGGAGACAGGGATGAGCATCGCGCCCTAGAGTCGGACACGACTGGACAATTTCTCAAGGGGAGCCTAATCAACCAGAGGTGTAAGTGATAGTTGTGGGGGAAGCCGAGGACGCGGGTATAGCGTTCATAAGGCCCATCCCTCGAGGGCAACCTCCTCTATCCCCGGCCGAAAGCTGCCACTTATGCTGGCCGTTTTGACATGGGGAAGAGCAGGGCGGAGGTTGACAACACGATCATGCTTTCTCTTTGGATCACGGTGGTCAAGAGATCTGAATCAGGCCCCAGAGGGGCCCCAACAGCATCCCCTTCAGCCACCCGGTCTCTCTCAGCTCTGCCTTTATCGGGCTTCTTTGTCTGCCTGGCCTCCTCTCCACCCCTGGCATCGGGTTTCTTGGGGGGGGGATACCGGTGTTGGGGGAAGGCACTCTTTGATTGCTGGTCTTGGAAACAGGAAAGGGCTGGGAAGCATCCTGGTGACAAACACCCTTCTCCTTCCTGGGACCTCCACAAGACAGCCTCCACGAGGTGTCGTGCCCATGGTGCTCCTCTTTCTCTCCTTCTGCAGGCCTCTCTTTGCTCTCTGATGTGTTTCCTGAACAAGTCATCCCTTGCCTGCTAGCCCAATATGGCGATGCTCCCTCGGTCACGCCGAAAGCACCAACGGTAGAGACCAGGATGAAAGTAGGGGAGGTGCTGATGCGGATCACGCGCACACTGGGTGAGTCCTCCCTTCCCTCTGCACCAGAGCTGTTCCCAGCCGCGGGCTGAGTACCCCATCCACGTTCATGCAGGCATGGACACATAGGGACAAGGGCATGGTTATTCTGGCAGAAATGTCTTGGGAATCTTGTCTTGAAAGGAAAGAGGCTGCCTTGATCCGTAGGGACAAAATGGGATTCATCCGTGGGGGCCAGACCATGATTGGGATCAACTTATACGTTCACAAAATATGCAGACTTTAGAGTTTGCCAGAATTCTTCATCAGGAAAAAAAGGGAAGAGGGAAAAGAGTGTTGGCTTGGTGCTTTAAGGCATTCAGATCTGCAGTTAAACTCAGCACGAAAATGGAGTGCGGGCATCATGTGTCAGAAGCCATGCGGGGTTCACATCACCCACCCACACACACACACACACACTGTGGGAGGGGAGCAATATTCAGCCTAACCAAATTTTCAGACTTTATTCTTTTTCCCCCCCAACCCACTTTTTTTTGTTCTTTTTCCTGAGAAAGTGTTCTGTGCAACTTGAAAGCGTGCATGCTTTGTGACTGTCTCCTCTCATAAAGATATTGCCCCACCTACAGATTTTGGATTTTGTGAAACTGTCGTGCTTTCCCCCTGTTACCCTGGTGTACCGCAAGGGGAAAAAAATGATTGCAAAAGTCTTAAAAGCTTCCTGCTTCTGAGAGTGTGTGGTCTCAAGGGGGTGGGAGTTGGCTTTTCTGCCCTGCAGGCCTGGGAGGCGCAGGGTGGCGCTCAGACGCTCTGCTGTGAAGGCTGAGCCATTGCAACGGGTTGTCTTCGACCCAGCAGCGCCGATGTCTGCTTAGCCTGCCGGAACCCCAGCCTCTGCAGTCCGCGGGTCCTTCCAGCTTTCTCGCTTTGGCCGAATTCGGGCAGAGTTACACCCAAAGAGGTGCCCTGCTTCTCCCGCTTCCTCCTCCAAGCCTTGGGCTCAAGTACCCAATGGGGAGAGAGAGAGAGCGTGAGAAGGTGCTGTTCGGAACCACCCACAGCACAATCTCTGCAACCGAATCCTTGAGCGCAGGAGCAAACGCAGCCTTTGCAAAGGGCAATTAGGTGTGTGTTGTGCGGAAGGGCGGGGAGAGGGAGTCGGGAATGAGTCACCTCTTTTTCCCTGGGCTCGGAGCTGAATTTGAATCTGCCATTTACTGCAGCATCAGTTTTCTCGTTGCTTTACATCCCCGTGACTGGAGGTTCCGAAATCGCCCCCTTGCTTCCTGCGTGGTGCAAGGCACTGCCCTACGCCCTAGCTGGGCGATGCCTGCTCTTTCCTGATTTCTAGGAGGCTTCAGGGTCTTGTCTGGGCATGAAGAGGGCTGAGCCTGCTGGTGTCCTAGCTTTCCTCTAAGAGCAAACCCCCTTCACCGCCACCGCCCCCAATAAACCCTTAAAAGTGCTTGCTTGTCCCTGCCATTTAGGCTCCTCTTTGCACCAGGAGTATGGTACTTGCTGCTAAAATCCAGCTTAGCGTGGCATAACAAAGCCCATCATCCTTGCCCTGATGAGTCTTCAGTTCGCTCTCATTGCCCAATCACAATTCTGCCCCTCTTCCACCCTCAAATCTCTCCTTGCAAGCCCAGTTTAGCCTTACTGTGTTTTATATGGGTCCCCATCACAATACCGTTTGGTCCAGGTGTTTCTCCGTCTGTGCATTCCACCTGTTTGATGCACACATAAAAAGCATCACATAGAACAGCTTAATTTGAGGGTCCTGTGTCTCCCCCCCCCGAGAAGAGTTTTCCTGATGCCAGAATTCCTGTGCATAATTCTGAATACGGAAGAGTCTTGTAGCACCTGAAGGATGACAAGTTTTCTTCAATGCACACTTCCCACGTCTTCAGATATTAAAAAAATATAGCCTCAGGAGACAGACCTAAATGTCTCTGGGGTATCACAAAGATCTTGGTTATTTTTCCTTTAACAGATCAGTACAGCTATTCCTAGGAAATACTTCCTGTCTGTAGGAAACAAACCCATTTTGCATTAGTTGACCCGCTTTGGGATCCTGTGTGTGTGTGTGTTTGCACAGGACCGCTGTAAGATGTGAAGAATTCCAATGGGGTGTCGTTGTCATTCTCGGTTTCTGGCCTTCGAAAGGTTTTGGACTTCAGTTCCCAGAAATCTCGGCCAGCGTGGCCAGTGGTCAGCAGTTCTAAGCGCAGAAGCCCCAAATACCTGCAGGGGCACAGGCTGATTCTTGGCTGCCTGCTGCGCTTCCTATCCGATGTGGGACATTGCTGTCACCCATCCGTACTGGGTTGCTGGGAAGGAGGAGAGGGTGGGTCTCTTCCAAAGAAAGCCAGTGACATTGGGCATTTAACCATCATCGGCAGGAGTTCTGATCCCAACTTGACATTTGCCATTGATTCAATGCGCTCTTGCTTGCTCTGTGTGTGTGTGTGTGTCTGTGTGTTTAAGTAACCTCTTGGATTCCACACATGTGAAATGATGAATTTTATCTCCCTTGACAGAGGTTTGATTTGCAGTCCCTCAGATATACCAAATCTTGGGGACATGGCCTTTTTCTAGGGAAAACTGAGCGAGGGACCTTTTGCAGGGGTCTGGCATGCATGAGAGCCTTTACAAAACAGTCTCTCGTATGTTTACCTTGTTTCCCTCCCCTTCAGTGATGGGGGGAGGCGACCCCCCTCCCCAGGTTTCTGCCAGGCCACTCCATCTCCTGTCTGCCAGTCGTGGGGATGGGTGTGGGGGGGGGAGTAGGGGACTTCCCATTAGAGCCTGGAGCTGTCATCATTCAAGCCACACACCCCACCCTCCCCCGGCCACGCTTGTGGATTGTGCTCAGGCATGCCAGCCCCTTCTCCCCAGACAAAGCTCTCCCGGAGATTTTTCCTGGCTCACCCATCCTTTCAGGGAGCTCCTGGCAGAGGGCCTTTTCTTTAAAGTCAAGAGCATAATTACCCCCCTGTGTTTCAGGACGTCTCCTCCTGTGTCCCCTTACCCTCCTCCCTCCCTCTGCTTGCACTTTCCAAGGTATAGGGTTTCCCCGCACCTCTCCCTCCTCTGAGCCTTGCCTGGCCAGACACGAGGACAGCTCCCAGTCCCTCTGCAGCCTTCCTGGCCCTGGGTCGCCGGCTGGCCCTCAGCCAGCTTCTTGCCTTGGGGTTTTCCAACCTTAGACTGAAGTGCTCAGACCCTCCCGGTGCCCAAGCCATCGGCTTCGGAGAGTTCCTAAAAGTCAGCTTCTGCCCCTGCCTGGCCATTCTCTTTTGGAGGGGAGGGGATTGAGCTGGTATTTAAGGAACTTTAAAAGCTGCCACGCTTTTTTCCCTGGGCCACGCCACTCCTCTCCGGCGCCCGGTTCCTGAGCTGCAGCCAGCCCGGGCCCCTCTTTGGCATGCACAGACTAGCTGGTCTATTTACAGATGAAACTAAACCAAACGGTTTTGTACATCTTGGCATATATAATTTTTCATCACTACAGGGCTGTTTACGCGTATACCCTGCCCATATCCAAACCCTGCTGTTTCTTCTGTTGTCATCTTTGAGACGTGCATGGCTTTGGAAGCAGACGCAGCTACAGGGCACCGGCCATGCATCTGTCTTGGGAGGAAGCCCTCTTTCCCAGGTCCATCAGGGAGGGCGCCACCTCCTGCCAGGCCTCTCCTGACTGCATGGCAGTGGAGAGCTTCCGTTGCCCCCCACCCACCGACCCCCCACACCTGCCCTCCTTGCTTGCTCATGGAAGTGAAGAGCCGTCCTTTGGCAGCAGGTGTCTGAGGCCGGAGCTGTCCCCGTGGCTTTGCTGGATCTGCACAGCAAAAATGACCTCCTCTTTGAACCCTAAGCCCATCTGGCCCTAAGTTGTTCATGCCGGTTCTTCTTCGCAAACATGCCCGCATCTGCAACTGGCCGCATGTTTCCCCTACCCTGCTTTTCTCCCCCTTCTCTGTTCTTGTTACGTGCTTTGCCTTGGCTTCCAGTTTATCTCCTGATTTTCCTTAACTCCAATAGGGTTTCTAAGGCATATAAATATTAAAGGACTGATGTATCATCAGGGGGGCCCTCCACTCATTGGGTTTATTCTGTCTCTTCCTGCCACGTAGATTTTTTTCATTAGTAACTTTTCCAGTTGGGAATCCAGGAGAACTTGGACACTTGCACTTCCTGTTGTGGAATTTTAGCGAGGACTTGGGGTCTAAGACTCGGCTTCCCGTGTAGGGGTTGCCATAACCAAGGAAAGGCTCCAGCCATGCAGGATGGGGGGGACTAGTCCTCTTGGGAGGTAGACTAAGGAGACTGGGGGTGGTGGTGTTTGTCCCTCCTTTAACACCTCTCCTCCTCCACCACCCCATGACTGGGAGGCTTCCTTCCTCCTAGATATGGGGGTGGGGGGAGGTTGGAAGGCATCTCTTTGGTGCCATTGACATGCAGGTGGGAGAAAGACTGGCTTTGAAATGCAGCCACATCAGATCCCTTGAGGTGCAAATCAAAGGGGCTGCTCATGAAAAAGGCATGGCTGAAGAGTACATCCTGATGGGAAGGACCACCCCATGACTGGGAGGCTTCCTTCCTCCTAGATATGGGGGTGGGGGGAGGTTGGAAGGCATCTCTTTGGTGCCATTGACATGCAGGTGGGAGAAAGACTGGCTTTGAAATGCAGCCACATCAGATCCCTTGAGGTGCAAATCAAAGGGGCTGCTCATGAAAAAGGCATGGCTGAAGAGTACATCCTGATGGGAAGGGCCAGGATGTATCCCCCC